AGGAGGCTGAGATCTGAGGATCAAAGTTCAAAGCCAGCTTGGGCAGGAATGTTCATGAGATTCTTATCCCGAATTAACCACAAGAAAAGTGAAATTAGAGCTGTGCCTCAAGTGATAGAGTACTAGCCTTGAGCAAAAAATGTGCCAGGACAGTGCCCCAGGCCTTGAGTTCAAGCCCCATGACTGACAAAATGTAATAAAAAATTAAAAATTGAGACATTGACCCCATGGAACTACAGCAATAATTGGACCAAAGTAAAAAAAACTTAGAAAATAATAATAATAATAATAACAACAGCAACTCCATTATTTCCTCAGAAATCATTTTCATCATCTTTTGTATTTCCTAAATGTGCTTTACAAAAAAGACTTCTAAAGCATACTTAGTAGCTCTATACATAAAAGTGGACATTTTAATTTATAAAACAGTTTCACCACTGTTCCTCCTTCATATTTAATATAAAAATGTATCCAACAATGTCACAGAGCAATTCAAGTGTCCTGGAATAAGATATCTAATGATTTTAAAGTAGAACAGTATGCAAAATGTAATACATACATTATGCTATTAGCTAGGCTAGAGCTTCTAAAAAATAGTTCATTGGAAGACAAAATAACATTGATAGTGAACACATCAAAGGTGATTGCCAAAATGCTGTCTTTAAATGTCCCAATGAAGTAAAGAGCTGAATGCATAAATTCCAGATTTACAATGGAAAGACCATCTGACATTCACAACCTGATATCAGGCTGGCCACCAGTATGAAGCCAATTTTAGATAACCCAGTTGTTTGTACAAATTCAAATCAGATTCTAATACAGAGCTTTTCCTATCACTTGAAAAAAAAAATTACCTCTTACCCTAGCCCATTTTTTCTGAAGAAGCGTACTATGTAAACAGAACAGAAAGAATTTTATTAATGCATCCCAATTCCTTCCAGGACAAAATGTGCAACAGGATAAAGGTAGAAGGAGAGATGATATAATTTAAATTCAGGCTCACACTACCAGCAAGAAATCAAATATTTGGGGTTAATCCCAAGGAAGCAACATGAAGTGAGCAATTACAATGAGGAAGACAGGAAAGAGAATGACAAAGGAAATTGACAGAAGTGAGGAAATGTGGACTCCGGAAGGACACAGAGATGAAATAAAAGAAGAGGATCGCCATTCTGCAAGACCAAGCAAAGCACTCTCCTTTCAAAAGTATTTCAGCTATAGTTAGACTAATTTTATTTTCTTTCTTCTAACAAAAGAGTGACACACATACAAACATATATATATATACACACATACATCCACAAACATAATTATACCCCTCCTATACACATACACACCCTTTATCTTTTACTAATGTCAGGAGTAGTGTAAATGTCAGTAACATATTTTATGATTATAAATTCAAGTAGACTTTGCTATCAGGCTTGTCCTCATAGGGACTTGTTATAAGTGGGTGCACACACATTCAGATGTTATTTTTAGGTGACAAGATGCTATGGTTAGCTTCCTTCTCTACCATGCCTGAGTATCTATTCTTTATGGGACATGACAGAGTTCTCACAATTCCAGTTCTTAGAGAAACAATGAAACATGATGAATGGTAAAAGTAATAACAATAATAATAATAGGCACTAAAAACTCATGTTTTAAATGTGTGTTTGGATCTATTCAAACTAAAATGCTCTTCTAGCCAACCCAAAGGAATTGCCACACAGAAGGGCATAGGATGGACTCAAAGAACCATCAAAGTTTGCCAATGTGTCTTTCTTCTTCCAGAACAAAAAAGAAAAGGTCAAGTGACATCGAATTACAACATTTTCATGGTAGTGATGAGATTTTATTCTAAAGAAAGAATACTAACAATATGTCGAGCATTAAAATTTGTGTTTTACATACATCAGTTCACTGAATCAATAAATTCTCATAATAGCTCAATGAAAAAAAAAAAGATTCTTTCACTGTCCCATTGTATAGAACACTGAGTCAGAGAAAAAATAAACACCTTATCTGATATATCCCAGATACTAAGTAGTATAGCTGCTTTAAACTCCAATGGTCTGGTGCCAGAAACCAATTCAAAACTGTAATAAAAATCCACATAGCCACCCATTAAAAGTCTGAAACACCACCTACCAGAAATAAACAGGAAGACCTAGGGGCTAGGATACCAGGGGTATTTTCAATCTGCAAAACACAATAGAATGCTGTAGGCATATTCTTTCCCCAATGATGCTGCTTTTGGAGAAAAGCACCTAGTTGAATCTGTGTTTGCTACCTTCTGAATCTAGAGTCTAAGGACTGAAACCATCATGTATAAAAATAATGTTTGTATGGTGTTATAAGTATGAAGACGTTCAGAAAAACCCAAGTCCAGATATAGAAGCTCTAGAAAGTTGCTGTAATTTGGGGTCTGATTCAGAAATTCAATTTTAATATACTATACATCCCTTTCAATCTGGACACTATAAAAGTCATGGAAATTAATGAATAGGAGCCCTGCCCGTGCTACTCTGTGAGATGCCACTCTGGGCTGAGAGATGACCTTCACTGCTTCATTTCCTGGGGATCTGACAGCATATAGTTTACTTGAGCAGAGGCTGGCAGAGACCTTAAAGGTCATCTTTCCTTGTGACTACAGCAAAAACTGGGAAGCGAAAGGTCAGCTCCCATATCTTGCCATTTTCTTTTGACAGTTGGAGACAAAGTAAGATTCAAAAAAGAAATCATTGTTTGTGACCAAGTCTAGGAAATCATCTATAAAACTTTATTTTCATTCATTCTCACATGAAAGGAAAAAAAAACCATATACTTAGAAATAATTTTTAAAGGATAGTTGTGTTTTAAAGCAGTCTAGAACTGGGGGGTTTCTTTTTATAGAAAATATTAATTGGAATGCATTGTGAGGATATCTATCCAAAATAGGAAAGGGAAAACAGAGGTTTCGAGCAATAATTTCTTTTCTGTGTTTCATATACAATGCAATCCATACTGGTAGGCTCACTTCAACTTTTTAAATGCAAAATAAAATGAAACATCTAAATTCACACCGTAGAGTTGAAATAAAACAAAAACACTGGACCTGTTTAACATATGTTTTGTAGGGGAAAGTTACAGAAGCTATCCATAGTGATATCTTTTAAATTAAGAAACCAGACACAGGTGATTTCCAGTGACAGCAATTGGGTTTGGCCATTTCAGAAAAAAGTTCAAGGTAGGTTTGGCTACTTGGGAAGATACTGGTATCTCCAATAGTATTCTCTCCATCTATGTAATGGGTATAACCATTCTTTGCTCAGAAGGAAAATGTAAAGCTGATATATAATCATGTTTGTAAATTCCTTCTTTCATTCTCTCCCTTCATTTTGATAATCTCCTTTAAAAAATCAGAAAGGTCTTATACCAAAAATACTTTCACTGGAAATAAATTTCCCAGAAAAGTTTGGGAAATTTTAGCACAACACCATCTATCATGATGACATAATAAGATATTTATTTGATCTTAGTAGCAACACATAAACTTTATGTGGCACAATGCTAAAAATCTCTACGTGTCATTTGTGATTTATTTTAGTCTACCATTTTTTAAGTACAAGTCATGGAAAACACTTTGGAATTATTACTTTCTTAGGCGTAACATCTTGCTGGTTCAGTGAATCAACAAGTTACCATTTGGGATGATATTAACAAGCTTGAGCTGGCTTTTCATTTGTTGTAGCACTGGAAATGAAAATATCAAATCCTATAAACACAAAAAGGACTAGTCTTCTGCAAAGAACTAGATCTTCAGGAGTTATATGTCTAAAACCTACATTGATACATCTGACTTATAAACCAAGCAGAAACAAATTGAAAAGTACTACTTGAATAACTTATCTCAAGCCCTTTTGGAACAAAATGGAGCATAAACTTTTCAAAACAAATGTTGCTCATGATGTTCAAGGATCACATTAGACATTTAGAACAAATCTCTTCCTACAAGGCACTTAGAACCTAGAGAAATAACATTGTGGTGTTCTGACCTCTGCTTCTGATCATGTTTAGGCTATATATCCATGGAAAGCTGTAATACAGTACTTAGATCTTTTCCAAAGGCTCTAGCTTTCTAAGGGATTCTCTTAATGTTGTAGCAAAAATTCAGAACTTCAACTCTACCCAAGGCCAGTACTGGGGCTTGAACTCAAGGCCGTGGCTCTTGTTTGGCTGTTTTGCTCAAAGTTGGTGCTCTATCATTTGAGCCATACTTCCACTTCTGGATTTGTGTTGGTTATTGGAGATAAGAGTCTCATAGATTTTCCTGCCCTGGCTGGTTTTAAACTATGATTTTCTGATCTCAGCCTCCTGAGTAGCTAGGATTACAGTAGGCATGAGCCACCAGCACCCCACTACTTGATCATTTTTAAGTGCTTAATAAAGTATTGTTAATAATTCGTGTGATATTCTAAAGTAGATGTTAGAACTTATTCATTTTGCATAACTGAAACTTTGTACCCAGAAAATTGCCTTCCCCTTCCTCTTGTCCCCTCCATGTTCTTGCCCACCACCATTTCTATTCTCTGTTTCTACAAGTGACTATCTTCCCTAAGTGAAATCACACAGTCATTGTCATTCTCAATATTCTTTTCGGTAGAGAATGTTTTGAAATCAACCTCATCAAAAAGATGGCCATAGAAATCCCAGTAAACAAATCTATCACTCAAAGATCTTACCTTGGCTAGAAGAAATGACAGTCAATTACATTTCATTGAACCATTTATGTACTATGCATGTGAATGTAGACAAAGTATAATTGTAATGGAGACATATTTACATATCTGTTATCTGCATGCGCATAACATTTTATGATCATAATTCCACTTTCTTTGGTATCGTGTCATCATTTTTGCCATGTACTTCACTACCACAGCTGCATCATTGCTGCTACCAGAATCTCTGTGTGTGTGTGTTTTTTTTTTCAGAGAAAATATACAATTTAAAATTGTTTTTTTCTTTTTTTTTATCAGAAAGGAAAGTCATCAAGACTTAGATTTTATTTTAGGAACAAAGTAAGGTTTCATGGGAGAAAAAAACAAAGCGTTGGTGTAGAGAAGGTTTGTTCATTTTCTATAGCATTACTGAAGTGTCCGTATGCCTTGATAAATCTATCAATGTTTGGATCATCTCAATGGGGGAAAATGCCTTAACTTAACTCTATTTTGGTGTCTCGGCAAAGGTAAGTTGTAAGAGCCTTGAGTTTTCTCTAACTGGGTAGTTTTATATTGTTGTATTTGTAAATGAAATTGTAAAGTTTGCTCAGATGATTTACTGCCTATGTTTTGTTTCCTTATGTAGAAAAGGCAGGTGGGTGGGCCAATGGGTGGAGGAGGTGGTGATGGGAAATAGCCAGTTGTGACAGAGTTGCTTCTGTGTCAATAAAAATGTGGGCAAGGGGCAAGTCAACTCAAGATGGAAGCAGGCTCTATTCGCTGACGCTCTATTGTTTCATACTCTTTAGTGTCTCTCCTTCAATGCCATCATGGAAGAACTGGGAATTTCACTCAAGAATCAGAAAAAATTAAAGAAAAAGTCAAGAACTAAGGGGAAATCTTTCACAAGTATCCTTACATGTCATCAGAGACGGACTCAGAGAAAAGAGACTGTGGCGTGACACAAGAAAGCTCCTTTAGGAACTTTTCAGGAAAACAAAAAAAGGGGGGGAGGCACACTACACAGTTTTTGGAGGAAGAACTTCTGATGAGTGTGAAATGCCTTTCCATATATTTATATCCATCACTAGTATGGATATAGGTATACGAAATGCAAAAAGTTTAAAGCTCATGCAGAGAGAAATAATGAGGGAAATGACACCAATTCTGAAATGAATTTCTTTGTGTACCGATTTTGCATTTTTCTCTTTGGCCCCCAATAAATTGCTGTGTGTGCTTTCTTAATAATAAAAAGTAAAAGTTGTTTTCTTTTTCCAGAATGTTCATGTCCTGGTTTGTTCCCTGTTACTTGCTCACATTCACAGTATTTGATGGATGAGGGCTGCCAGCTGTTGAGTTTGCTATTTTGAAGGATCTGTCATCTGTTAAGACTCATAATCACTTTGCTCTACAAAGTGCCTAATTATTATATAAAGTAAAACCATTCATCTTTGGGTATTGAAAAATAATTTTATAGTTTAAATGGTATCCAAACATTCGTGTATTATAAAAGGATTCAAAGTATATTCAAAAGCTAGAAGTGTTTATCCCATTCTAGGTACTGTGTGGGTTCTGGATCACCATAGCAAGAAAGACGGACATGGTTCACATCCTTGTATCAGCTTATATTAAACAAAGATTGAAAAGTCTGTCTCTCAAAGTAGGATTGGAACGTTCTCTGTGGAAGTCAGAAGCAGAATGAACATGCCAGCTGAGGTACGCTGGCTCCCTGCAGGGAGGAACAAACAGGTGAAGAGCTATGGATGACTCAAGCATTACAAATGATGTACGAGGGGGAAGGCAAGTGTCCCAGGACAAAGAAGCAACATATTCAAAGCCACTGAAATAAGAAGTGTTAGAAGGAAAGGAGTTTATGGTAGCCAAAATATAAAATGCAACAAGGTACAGCATTCCTGACAGGCAGCCACCGCTCTGGAGAAGAGGGCACAAACTGAAGAGAAGGGGAGTGGAAGGAAAGAAAAGGCACATCAGAAAACTCCTCCAGCAATGGAGAGGAAGAGATGTCAGAGCTGAGCCAGAGCAGTAGTAGAAACCACAGGAAAATGGAGGATATTTTGAGGCACAACATAGACAGTCAGAAAGTGGCTCCTAAAGCCGTAGTGGGATCCAGGAAAAGTACAGTTAAGGAGGTTGCCTAGCTGGGGAATTAGAATGAAGTTCATGTTTTTTGACAAACAATAAAATAAAAAAGGCAGGAATTGATTTATTACTTTATTTACTTAACTCCCATTGGGTTTTTTTTAAGTGTTATTTTAACTTTTAATCTAGTCCCATCAGAATTTAAGTACAAAAGTATGTGTAGATGTGACAAGAAAAACAAAAGTTCTTAACGATCATAAAATATTACAACTGGTATTTTGCTATATTAAAATAAATGATCAGATTTCAAATTATTCAGAATTGACGCATAAAACAAATAGAAGAAAATGACTAGGAAGCCAGACATCAGCGACTGACACCTGTAATACAAGCTATTCAGAGGCTGAGATCCGAGGGTCATGACTTAAAGCCAGCTCAGGGAGGGAAAGTCTGTGAGATGCTATTCTCCAATTAACCACATAAAGCCAGACGTAGAGCTGTGGCTCAAGTGGTAGAGCACTAGCCTTGAAAAAAAAAGCCTAGGACAGTACCCACAAGCCCTAAGTTCAAACCCCAGTGTGTGTGTGTGCTAGTACTGGGGTACATATTAGGATGCTAACATTAAAAACTTACAAAAATATATGAAGACTCTAACTGGAGAATATTCAACATGATAACATATTAGATAGGAAAATGCAAAATTTATTTACTTTGCTAAAAATTATATCTGACTCATTGGCTTCATATTTTCCAATATCTTCTCTAGTATTCCAACTTTCCTTTCATTTTTGAAGATATTACTCATCTTTTCACATTTTATTACAATAATTTATGAAAAAAGAAGCCTATCAACATCTAATATCTAAAATATAGTATACATCAATCTGGTTTTTAGCTATTTTAAGGCCCAATAACCTCTCAGGTCTCCATTCCGTAACTGGCTTTCATTCAATGTATATAATGCTTGCAGTGAGAAACTTTGTTGAGGTAGGTAAAACTGCAGAAGACAACATTCTGTATAAACTACTGAATGTAGTGTGTAGTCACTTTTCTCTCTGACATTTTCATCTTGGAATCACATTTCTGTCTTGTGCATGTTTCTGTGTATCTAGGTGTGTTTGAACAGTGAAGAACATAGTAAGCTAAGTGACTTCAGAGGAGAGATAAAAGAAGAATTTCTTGAGAATCTGGATGTGGTTGCAGAAAAAATCCAGGAACAGCCATTAATCTTTGAGATTTTTTTTTCATCCCATTCACTAAAGAACAGTGACTCATACAGAGTTATGTACAAATCAATGGCAAAGTTAATTAAAAACCAGGTCTAACATTTCTTCAATTGGGCAATTTCTTGAGGCTAACAGAAAAAAAAATGGCTCAGGTAAGATATTCAAGAAGAAAGGAGAAGGTCAACGTTGATTAAAAGATGATGATCACAGTGAAGATTTATTTTCCTTTCTAGTTTTAAAGTTGAGCCTTGTATTTATTGTAGAAAAATAAAAGGGAGAGACATTGGCCTTTCCTCCCTGGGAGTGAAGGTATATCTTTAATTTCACTCTTTGCTCTCTCAAAAGAACAAAATGAGGAAGGTTTGCTTCCTCCTTCAAAGTCGGAAGGATGTGGGGAAGGCCATGTCTGCTCAGGGAAAGCGTCACTGGGAACAACACATGTTACAGGAGAGCTGAAGAGGCCTTAGCTGGTCCAAAGGAAAAGAGTGTCAAAATGTACAAGGCTAGTGTGAGCCAGCCACTTCACCAAAGGCCTAAACTGCCCAGTGAAGATACCTCTTGGGGTGGAGAAGAGGCTGTACATGGGGAAGGAGAGATTAGAAAATCACACTCAAGTCTCAGACCTAGACCTTTATGTGAAGAAATACTCTTCCCCTCTATATCTCAAAAACTATGGGTGGTTTAGAAGAAGGAGGATATAGAAATGATAAAAATCTACCAGAGCTGAGGCATACACCTTCTACCTTGTTCAGGAAATGACTAACCTTAGTCCATCCTGACAATTTACCAGCAAGAAACCCAGAAACATAGAAACTGGCTTTGCAATAAGTACCCACAAAGCAATGTCACAGGTCTGCCAGAGGGACTTGCTTTTAAACGCTTACGTAGTGTTTAATTATAAAAATCTCTTCAACTTTCAGGAGCCTGTTCAGTGAAGGGAGACTTTACAAGGGACTTACACCTAGGGATTCTCTGATGTGTGCCTTGTTTATAATCACAATTTGTGTTTTCTGAACCCACCCCCTCATCCCTTTCTCAGTGTTAGAGAAACTCCATATCCCAGTATGCCCTAAAGAGCTGGAAATTGTGACACTCCACAGGTTAAACGATCCCTTTTTTTTAATCATATGGACCAAAAAAATGTCATAGTATATCTTTCTCATTCATCTCCCAGCTTCTTCTGCTAAGAGTTCCACTAAGGAAATTAAAACCTTTACTGATGATAAAAAAATAGGGGTCCCCTCTAAAGGTGCTAGTAGAAGGTAAAGAATTCTTACCCTCCATCAAAATCCTCCAGTTTACCCAGGATTCTCAATCAACCAGCATAGGAGTAACCTTGATGCTTCATAGAAAAATTACACACACACACATACACACACACACACACACACACGCACACCTATATGTATGTTTCCTTACCTTTGACTCCTCTCTCAGCTCTGCTTCACTACCCTGTCAAGATCCATCATCAGATAATGGTGACAACTGAAATTTCAGCTATCATTTAATAAGCATTCATTGACTCCTGATGCTCAGAACAAGTTTATACAATACTCATAAGATACCTCAAGGTAAAATTGTGCTTGTAGTTAAAAACTGAGTTAAGCCGGGCACCTGTGGCTCACGCCTGTAATCCTAGCTACTCAGGAGGCTGACATCTGAGGATCGTGGTTCAAAGCCAGCCTAGGCAGAAAGTCCAGAAAGTCCGTGAGACTCTTATCTCCAATAAACCACTCAGAATACTGGAAGTGGCTCTGTGGCTCAAGTGGTAGAATGCTAGCCTTGAGCTGAAGAGCTGAGGGACAGTGCCCAGGCCCAGAGTTCAAGCCCCATGATTAACAAAAAAAAAAAAAAATTAGTTAAGAAAAGTGTGTTCACTTTCCCAATGATAGGTCACTATAACATGGCACATAATCAGGGTGCAACTTAATTCCTCCTATATCATCACAATGACATGCTCCTGCCTCTTAACTCTTAAAGTGTCATCTACCAATCCCAGGCTCAACTCCCAGCATGCACAATCTCAAATACCCACTTAGCCTCTGCTTATGAGGCTGGCACTTTGCATTTATCATCTTCCTAGCAGAAAATGGAAACTTAGAGAAAGAATTTAAGTGCCTTTTAAAGCCCTATTGATTCTTTGCAACCAAGATTCTAACTTTAAATTGCCAGCGTTGTATCTACAGCCTGGCATCTCAACAAAGATACTACACAATCATAGCTCTTTATTCAATTGCAAATTCAGATTCAATTTTCAAAGGACCCTCCAGAAGGTAATTAGTCATCTCCCAATCTCTCCTTATAGAATAAAGACAGTGATGTGTGTGTGTGTGTGTGTGTGTGTGTGTGTGTGTGTGTGTGTGTGTGTATGGAAGACAGTACTTAAGCATCCAATGCATTTCTAACACACATAAGCAGAGGTTATTTCTAATGTTTAATAGTAAGTAAAATGAACTCTTCACCACATATCCTGAAAACTGTCTTACTGATTTGACATTACAGTTTGAATACTCATTCCTAAAAAAAGCCATTCTGTCATACTTAAAATGTATGGATGGGAGTCAGGAGCTAGTGGCTTGTGACTGTAATACTAGCTACTCAAGAGACTGAGGTCTGAGGGTCTCAGTTTAAAGTCAGCCCCAGCAGGTAAGAGTGTGAGACTCTTATCTCCAATAAACTACCAAAAAGCCAGAAGTAGAGCTGTAACTCAAGTAGTAGAGTGCTAACTTTGAGCATAAAGAAGCTCAGAGACAGCAACCAGACCCTGAGTTCAAGTCCTAGGACTATCACTCCAAAACATAATTAGGAACCTATGGATGGCATCATATGATTATTCCCCTGAGGACCTTGTGGCTCATCAGGTACCAGCTAACTCATAGGAGACATGAGATGAAAAGTCCAAGCTGACTCTAGACCCCTAGATAGGAGAATCCAAATGCTTCTTTTAA